CAGTCTTAGGGACTACTCTGTTAGTGAAAAATCAGTTTGTCCTTGACTGTAGTGGACCAAAACCATGAGACGAAAATGTGTTAACTCACAAAAACTAAGACTTAGAGAAGTCAGAGAATAAGATAGACTGGCCATGGAACTGGGTACTATGACAGACATGTCCACATAATAAGAAGAGTTATGTTAGGTAAGTCAAATTTTGAACTAGCCCTTCCCAGACAAGTTTTTTTCAATTTTCATGGGAAAAATTTGTTCAAATAAATCAGATACTGGAGGTCAAGAGAAACCGTGTCAGACAAGTGGGATATCTCATATAGAACTAGAACAGTGAAGTTTGAGTTAGAGAAACTACGTAATTGACTGAAATCAAAAGAAATTTGAGAGAGTTTGAAATCATTGAGAGCAAGGTTAGCTTTTGCAGGTGACGAAGGAGAAGAGACTACTGTTCGAAGGAATGTTTCCCTGAAGAGGGTGAGGGCAATGACAACCAGTTGAAGTATAGCAGGTGACACCGTCCCATGAGCAGCAATCAGTATCCTCTTTCCAAGACATTGCTTTTGGATAAGAAGGACATCTTCCATAACAATATGGTGGGTTTCATTTTTGGAGAAAGTATTTTTTTGCATAAAGTCAAGTCAAAATAGAAAGAGGATCATCAATGAAAGAATATTGTTGCTAAAGTGGCGCAGCGCAGAACTTGGTCATGAGAACAGAGTGTTGCAGAGAGCAGCTAATAAGCCCGTCTGAGGAACCTCATCTTTCCTTATGAGATCACAACTTTACCGCCGTGAGTCATCCTGGCCGTACAATTGTGCAGCCATAGAATTCTAAATGTTTAACCACCATCATTTCCACACAACTATTCAAGAAATGACACAATTACCGAGTCAACAGCCTCATTCTTCGCTATTTCTGTATACCCTTCAACAATTATTTAGTCCTCCTTTCATATCTTAATTTTTTTAATTTTTGCTTTTGTGTTTTCACTGTTGAGGGCAAAATCTAAGAACTCTTTGTCACCGTAGACTTATTGTTTCGAGATATCATTTTTTAAATTTCATCAGATGAAATGAAAAGTGGAATTCATGTTACTAGGGAGGATATATTTGATTCAGAATATAACGTTGTTTTATATTCTTAGTTTTTAATTTTTATTTAGACCAAGTCCAGTGTAATTCTACCGTGTTCATTTTTTATTATGGTCATGTGTTCTTAGGTATAATGCAATGAGGAACAAAAAGTTTGTTCCTAACTTGCTTTCTCTCAAGCACTGTGAAACTTGCATTAGAATGTTGCATTTGGTCGAATTTAGGCGAATTCCACTGAATCTTGTCTCATTTCGGTGGAGATACTATACATAACTCTTGTCTCAATGCACTAGTGAGAAACTTCTCCATCAAAGTCTTGGCCATGCACTAGCTAATGGATGATACAGTTTTGCAAAAAGGTTCCTCCATTGGTTTCTTTTTTTCTGGATTTATGATTGCTGTACAAAGTTCTATCTGTAGCTGTCAAATTTGTGAATTAGACAAGAAGTTGGAAATCAATGTATTGTAGTCTCTCTAGTATATAATTTAAATTGGGAGGCACCAAATCTGTGCACTATGCTTTATGCATTCCCCTTTCTGCAGATTGGAGATGCTTATGAATGCAAAAGTTCTCCTCATGTGAAAGCTTAGAAATAAACACTTACAATAGGACTAGTAAATGTAGTAGAAAGTGCTTTTGTTGAGCTTACCATCAACTTGAAGTACTTCGCAATCCAAATATAACAAACAAATTGTTCTTTCCAACAACACTTGAAGCATTTTTATTTAATAAAAACTATTGAAAGATAATAGATAGACCATGTTGATTCAATCGTATGTTCTTGCTTTTGTCAAGTACTAGCTGTGAAAAGAAGAGAATATTGAAAAATTAATGGTGGAGTTTATATTCAGATTCTTGAAGGAGCATAAAAAAATGCTGTAAAAATCGAAGCACTCAGCTTGTTAAGAGCAGCGCTTGAAGTCACTAATTTCATCTTCTTGGATGGGTTCTCTTCACTCTTGTTGATTCTGAGCCTCACTCTTTCAACCATCAATACAAACCATAAAGGTTTTTGTTGGAATACATAATCTCATAGACAAGCCTATTATCAATCCAGATCTATATACCCTTCAAAACGATTTTCCAATTGAACCAGCTCGAATCATTGTCTCCTTCATGGTAGATGGATGGTATTGGTGATGTGGTTCATCATCAACACATCTCTTTGATAAAAGGAATCCACAAAACCCAAAGTTTCCAATAGGAATCATTTTGAAATGTATTCAATTGATTTCCTTGAGTTATAAAACCTACGAGTCGGTTGTATGAAAGGTTCAATACAAAAAGAAATGACAGACTTGTCAATTGATTAGGATCTCTAAAAAGGTATTGAAAGAGAGGTCTAATGATTCAAATCGTATCAAATTTTCCAATATTGGTGGAATATGACACCGTGAGGTATCATGAAAAGTTGAGGACTTGGAGGGAATTAAGCTTTCCAATTACTTTGGAATGTCCCCTTGAATTGGTTGTTTGACAAATCTATCATTTTGAAAATGTTTATAATTCTATCTATTTCTCTATCAACACCGTTTACAGTCAATATTGAATAATATTGAGCATACCTACAAAACCTTCATCCCATAAGTCACTGTCCCATATATAATCCGAATAATCTCATGATTATCCCCACACTCATATTAAATTTCTCAAAATACCATTTGGCAAGAAAATGAAAATGATTGTGAGAGAGGTCAAGTATTAGCGATTAGGAAACATAACTTTTGTCTTGGGATTTCCAAGGGACCATAAATCTATTAGATCTCAATATTAGAACTTGTAATTCGGGAAGGGTCGCTAACCAATGAGGAAAAGTATCTTCAATCATATTGTTCCCAACATCTAGAAGTTTCAAACGACTACAATTAACCAAAGTAGGTGGCAATGAACCCTCTAATTTGTTGCCATGGAAATTATTTTTAGATTCAAGAATGAAAGTGTACATAAAAACTTACGACAGTTCCCTAGCATGAGGAATTGTTCAACTCAAGCTATTGTTAGAAGTCAATAATTATAATAAAGCTCATGTTGCAAATGTATGAAGGGATCTCTCCGGTCAATCTATATGATAAGTAATAAGATTTCCATAAGAGGTGCATCTAGCATAGTAAGTGGGCCTTGGAGCAAGGGAACAAAGGTCAAGAACATTCATATTCATCACTGAAATTTTTCCAGAAGGGACAAAACTTGTCAAAAAATTGTAAGATAGATTCAAATGGTACAAATTGGGGGAATCCAAAGTCGATATATATGCATGTCCTTAAAAGAGAGAGAAAGTTATACTTACAGTCATTACTCCTGCTGCTGCAAGGACCCCAGCCTCACCAAATAAAGCTGCTGCTGCCTCTGTGACTAACGTAGTGGCTCCAATATTTGCCACACTGAATTCGTAACTAGAATCTATAAAAGAATTAATTTTCAAACTCAATATGAAAACAAAAGAATTAGTTATACTTACATTAAAGGGGAGGGTAGAACGTTGTGCCAATGAAAATGGTCGTCAAAAACCGAGTAACATCACTGCAAAGCATTTTAAAGTCACCATTATCAGCCTCTTTTTCTGCCGATTCCCACATCTGCATCAGAATAATATCAAATGGTCAATTAGAACAAATAAAACTATTTGAAGAGATGGCAATCATCTACTTGCACCAAAAAATACCATATGATGGTAATATGGTTTAGAATTCTCATTCGGCTATCCCTCAACTTCAAACAACTAAAACCCAAAAAAAGAAAGAGCATTCACAACACCTCAATGGAACAGTCTAATGTTATACCCAATATAGTATAATTGGACTTTTATAACTACATATGATAAAGCAGCACTAGAATAAATAAAATTAAATAATTTGCTCTTCACAATAATAACACAATGTGCAATAAATTATTCTAGACTCCATAAACCCCCAACATCAAAATGACACCAAACTAAGCTAATACACTTCCAAGACCAGAACGATAACAAACACTTAAATGCATAATTTGTGACAACACAATTACATAAACATTATACAAACACAGAGTAGCTCAAGAATTTTATACCTTCCAAGGCCAAAGCGTGTTGATAGACATCTCAGCCATTGAAAAGAACACAGCCAACCCCAAAAGTGTAAGTGGAGAGACTGCCATTTATTTGGTTTGGTATTTTGAACTTTGAAGGACGGGTTTTAGTGTGTTGTGTAACAAATTGCAATGACAAGTGGGGGTGATAAATTACTAAGATTGCCCTGAGTAAGTTCTAAAATTACAACTATAACCTTACTTTTTTAAATTAAAAAAAAAAAAAACCAGGATTAACATAACATAAGAGGACTAAAGATTTAGAGATAAATATGTAAAGTACAAAGTTTCTTCGTACAACTCATTGACTAAAAACTCCCATGAATGCAAAGATTAAAATTCAAGAGCTTAATAGTCAAATGTTCAAGCTGGCAAAAAGTTCTCCACATACAAAAGCTTAAAAATAAAACACTTACAATAGGATGAGTAAATTTGGCAGAAAGTGCATTTTGTTGAGTAGAAAAAATATAAGCTTACCATCAACTCGAAGTACTTTACAACACAAATAATAATAAACAAATTATTCTTCCCAGTAACAATTGAAGCATTTTTCATTTATGATTTTCTGGAAAATGTTGATAACAGTGCTGAAATATAATAAATAGACAATACTGATTCAATCAGTTATGCTCTTTGCTTTTGTCAAGTACTTAGCTTTGAAAAGAAAGAGAATGCTGAAAAATTAATGGTGGAGTTTATATTCAAGTTCTCACAGAAGCATACAAATATACGTTGTAAAAATTGAACCACTCACCTTGTTAAGAGTAGCGCTTGAAATCACTAATTTCTTCTTCTTGGATGGGTTCTCTTCACTCTTGCTATGATTCTAAGCCTCACTCTTTCAACCATTAATACAAACCATAAAGGCCCATAGACAAGCCTATCACTAGTCCAGATCCGTAACCCATCAAAACGATTTTCCAATCAAACCAGCTCGAATCATCGTCTCCTTCATGGTAGATGGACGGTATTGGTGATGGTGGCTCATCATCAACACATTTCTTTAACAACGGAAGTCCACACAACCCAAAGTTTTCAATATAGGAATCATTTTGAAATGTATTCAATTGATTTCCTTGAGGTATAGGGCCTATAAGTCGGTTGTATGAAAGGTTCAACACAGAAAGAAATGTCAGACTTGCCAACTGACTAGGATTCTCTCCAACAAGCTTGTTGAAGGAAAGGTCTAATGATTCAAGACTTGTCAAATTTTCCAATAATGGTGGAATATGACCTATAAGGTTATTATGAGAAAGGTTGAGGATTTGGAGGAAATTAAGCTTTCCAATGACTGTTGGTATTTGCCCTTGAAATTGATTACTTGACAAATCCATCATTACGAAAATGGTTAGAATCTTGTCTATTTTTCTATCAACGCCTTTTACCATCAAACTAACGGAATAGTCTTGAGCATAAATCGGGATATTCCAAATGAGTGCATTAAATGTATCTAGCTCTTCTCTCATATATTCCAATTCACCTTCATGCTTCTTACCACACATCATATTAAATTTCTCAAAATATCTTGTTGGCAAAATACCTATGAATTGATTGTGAGAGAGGTCAAGTATTCGCAACTTAGGAAATGCTAATCTTGTCTTGGGTTCGCCAATGAAACCATGGAATCTATTAGATCTCAATATCAGAACTTGCAATTCTGGAAGGTTTGCTAACCAATAAGGGAAAGTATCATTGATCATGTCGTTTCCAACATTTAGAACTTCCAAGTTACTACAATTAACCAAAGTACGTGGTAATGACCCTTCCAACTTATTACCATTAAGGTTAAGGTATTGAATGAAGTTATTAGCTAATGATTGTGGAATTGTTCCACTCAAGCCATTGTAAAACAGATCAAGATATTGAATAAAGCTCAAGTTGAAATGAGGGATCTCTCCCATCAACATATTGTTGGAAACTAATAAGGTGTGCATATTAGGTGCATCTAGCATCACAAGTGGGCCTTGGAGCAAGTTGGATTGAAGGTCAAGAACAACTAGAACCATCATGGAAACTTTTCCAAAAGGGACAAAACTTGTTAGAAAATTGTGAGAGAGATTCAAATGGTATAAATTGTGAAACAATTCCAATTGTGATACAAAGAAATTTAAAAAGAGAAAGGATTAGAAGAAGGAAAGGACTGTTTGAGAATAAAACTGCATAACTTTATTGACTCACTCAGGCTATATATAGCCATACAACTAGTAGGGAAAATAACAACAATGCTAAAGAATAGTACCCACGTAACAGACTCCACAAACAACTAAATGCTAAAGAATAGTACCCACGTAACAGACTCCACAAACAACTAAATGCTAAAGAATAGCACCCATGTAACAGACTCAACAATACTTAAGACTAACACAAATTAGACTAAGTCTTCCACCACGTGTTCCATTTTGCCACTACACTTCGTGACTTCGCGACTTCGCGATCTTCCATGACTTCATGATCTTGCCACTACACTTTGTGACTTCTTGGACTGGTTTGGTGAGTGTAAAGTGGCACATATCATTCCCCACCGCTTAAGGATCCTTGTCCACAAGGATGAAATCAGGATATGACTTGGTGAAACGCCACTCATTCTCCCAGGATGCGTCTTTTGCTGGTGCATCGACCCATTTCACTAGGATTTCATATTTTGGGCGATATTTACCCTTGCAGATCACACGTCGATCTAAGACAACTTCAGGTTGTGGAAGGACAATCAAAGTATCTGAGACAAGGGGAAGTTGGGTAGAGGTTGGAGTAACTGGACCCAAATGCTTTCTTAACAAACTGACATGAAACACATCATGAATTTGAGAACAAGGGGGCAAAGCCAATTTATAAGCCACCGGACCAACCTTCTCAATGACTTTGTATGGACCAAAGAAATGTGGGGCGAGCTTCATGGATGCTCGGAAAGCCACAGAAGTCTGTCTATATGGCTGGAGTTTCAAATACACATAATCTCCCACCAAGAATGCTACCTTGCGTTGGTGTTGGTCCGCTTGATATTTCATCCGATCCTGAGCCAGCAAAAGGTTATGTCGCAGCTCACGTAGGATAGCATCTCGGTCACGCAAGTACTCATCGACTACTTGGATGCAGGAAGTGCCCAGTACATAAGCTAGTAGACTTGGAGGCGGAATGCCGTAAACGGCTTCGAAGGGTGTCATCTTGGTAGAGGAGTGAGTAGAAGTGTTGTAGCTAAACTCAGCCCAAGGAATCCATTCGAGCCATTTTCGCAGCTGGTCCCCTGCAAAACATCATAAATATTGCTCCAAGGTTTGATTGATAACTTCCGTTTGGCCGTTGGATTGGGGATGGTAACTTGAGCTCATACACAACTTGGTTCCTTGCAGCTAGAACAATGTGCACCAAAAGGAGTTGATGAACACCTTGTCTCGGTCACTAACGATTGATGTCAGAATACCGTGCAGGCAAACCACGTTGGCAACAAATGCCTTGGCGACAATTACAATAGTAAATGGGTGTTTCAAGGCTACGAAGTGAGCATATTTTGTCAATCGATCGCGACGACCATGATGGCAGTGTATCCATTAGAAGATGGTAACCCCTCAATAAAGTCCATCGAGACATCAGTCCACATTTGAGTAGGGATGGGTAGCGGCTGAAGCAATCCCACCGGCTTCATACAATCGGTTTTGAACCGNAGTATCATAAAATTGTATACAGTCACGTTTGAGGGAGCATGTTGACTATAAAAGTGAAAAGACAATACGCTGCCGTTTCTTGTAAAAACTGATTACTGTGAAATCAGTTTGTGCAGCATCTTAATATAAAGCTGTACTCTCAACTTTACTCTTTAATAACGAAAACAGTACATTCACATTTTTCTTTCTCTGCGATACTCTGCACTTTCTGCTCTGTTTTTGTGTTTCCTTTTCAAACTGACCACTAAAATTGTTGAATGAATGATCTAGATCGGTTAATTTACTAAGGTTGCCAAAAACATCTAGAATCTGTTTTGCAAAATTGTTGTAACTGAGATATAAACTTCTGAGCTGACTGAGTTTAGATAATGACATTACAACTTCGCCTGTAAAATAATTGCCTGCCAAATCCAAAGAAGTGATATTCGTGCAATTCCAAAGTGATGTTGGAATTGAACCTGTGAATCCAATCGAACGAAGACCCAATACATTCAAGTATCTAAGATTGCCAATTTTGTTAGGCAATTTTCTAGAGAAACTTGTGAAAGAGAGATCCAATACATTCAAGTATATAAGATCGCTGATTGCGTCAGGTAATTGTCCTGAGAAATTTGTCATAGAGAGATCAAAAAATCTAAGGGAACTGCTCCAGTTAGAGTTTGGTAAATTACCTCTAAGATCTTCATGTCCAGTGAAACTCAACTTCTGGAGGAATGGAAGGCGGAAAACATCATTTGGCAACCTGCCTTGAAGACCAGTACCGCCAACTAAAAGAGATATCAAAATAGAAGACAAGTTCAGCAAGGAGCCAGGTGCAACTGAAGACAAATCCACACCATTAAGATGAAGATATCTTAATTTTGTAAGATTCTGTAAGTGCTTATTAAAAACATGTTGGCTTAATTCAGGTAACCAAAGGGCAAAAGTAGCACCAGAGAGGTCAAGCGCAACAAGTTTAGATAGGTGAAAGATTTCAGTTGGAACTATGCCATGGAATTCGGAGAAAGAAAGTTTAAGATGTGTTAATTTTGTGAATTGACCAAACTTGGATGAGATTGTGGATTCACTGAAATCATTACAAGCAAGCTTGAGCTTCTAGAGATTGTGAAGGAGGAAGAGACTACTATTGTCTTTGATAGTGCCATGGATCAAACTAGAAGAAAGTTCAAGGCCAATGACATGACCTATGTAGCTATCACAAGTGACCCCATCCCATAAGTAGCAATCACTTCCCTCTTTCCAAGAATCTGTCTTAGGATAATTATATTCTTTGCAAGGATAGGAAGAAGAACTATCAATTTTTAAGGTGCTCTTGAAATGGAGTAAGGCAAAGCTTTGTTCAGGGGAGCAAAGTTTGATTGAACGAGAAGAAGAGTTATAAGGAGATGAGCAAATGGCTTGAAAACTCAAGTCCAGCAGGAAGAGGCAGGGGAGTAGAGAGTGCCATGATAGTCTCCACTTGTTTTTCACAGGAAACAGAAGAAATTGCATAAAATTGATGAGAAAGATGAGAAATGAAGATGAAATGTCTATGTATATATAGATAAATAAAAAGAGAAAAATGTAACCAGATTGTTCAAACAAATTAGTACATGGACGTAGAATTTTATTATGATTGACTTTGAATTAGATGATTCATATATCATGATTGGCATAAATTGGAAACAAAATTCAAACTGGGATTCGCTATTGTAAAGAGACATCTGTCATACCACCAAGTCTTGGTCATGCATTGATGTCTACCCCATCAAGTCTTTGGTCAAGCACTAACGAGGCACTACTGGATTTAGTCCTGACCATCCAAGGGCTCTTTTTCTACGTTCTAATAAGAAAATACCACAAATGTCTTACATGGATTGGATTCAGGAGCTAACAGTAATGTTAAGGTTGGCAAAACTTCTCCCTCAAAAACAATGTAAGGAAATTTTCTTGATAAATTTCATCAGCAGAGAATTTCTATCAAGAAATGGATGCCACTGCTATTGCAACGGAGTGGCTTATGAGTATTCAAATAATGATGGAGTATTATCTGTAAGGTTATTGCGAGATAAGATTTAGGATATACAAATTCTGCCACAATTTTGATTCTATTTGGGTAATTTGGCCAAAAATTTTGTTGCTAGAAATGTCCAAAATTTGCAAATTTTTGGCAGTCCTTAAGAAACTCGGGAATTGAGCTAAGTTAGAAGAAAGGTCTATTGACTGCAAAGACGATAGCGTAAACAACCAATCTGATATCCTACCAGTTAGAAAATTATCAAATAAGTTGAATTTAGTTAGATCTGAAAGGCCACTTGTATCATTCGAACATAAACAGTTTTGAAAAGGTTGATATATATATGGTTATTGTTATTTCTTGAAATTCAGTGGACATTCCTGATTTTATAGATCTTTTCTATATTTCCCCTGTTTGCAACTATTTTCTGAGTCATAGATCATACTCCTGTGACTGCAAATTCTTATTAAAATTTTCAAGTTAATCTGTTGAACATGATCTGACTATTGACATATAAATTATAAGCCATCTTAATCGTAACAAAGGTAACTGATGGATGTTATGGCCTCTGCATTGCTAGAAACCGAGCATTCTGTCACAAGAGAATGATATTATGCTTTTATTTGCATATGCAAGAAGGGAATTCTGTCAGAAGAGTCTTCTAATCTAACAGAAATATCTAAATTTTCAACTTCTATAAACTGAAATTCTAAAAATTTTAGAGAGTGTTATGGAATTGTAACTCATAATTATTCAACCTCAAAATTCAAAACTTTAATTTGAAAATTTTAACTCTTAAAATCAAGTTTAAAGATACATGTGTTAGGTTCTTTTGCTCTCTCTCGACGCTGCCCTGCAATCAAACTCTCTAGAATCAAGAAAAAATGGAGATCAAAGTTTAAATATGGAATCTTATCATTAACTAGAGTGAAGTGAGGCTGCTGGAGATATATCTTCTGTAGGAATTTATGAAGTTTAATGTTCTTTAGTTTAAATTTATTTTCTCATGCATTTTGAAAATTATAGCTTATTAATTGGCTGATGCAGTGGAAAAAAGGCCTATATGACTTCCCTAGTGATTTAACCACCATGTAGGAAGTCTTGGTCTACTAACCAGAAAACAACAATGTCCAAATTTCCAATCTCACATTCTCTATGGAATATATTGTTTATTTTTATACAGAAAAATAATTTTGTAATTTTTCTGCTGAAATTAATGACAAACGTAAGGTTAATGTATCTAAAGAGACTTGAGTATTGACTAATTCCCATCTAAGTACATTTGAGACCATAAAATTAAATATTCGACAAAACAATTCTACCTAAATCAACCATTTCATAATCAATTCAA